GTGGCTAAATTATCTTAAACTTGTGTCTTCTATTCAACTTCTCTCACCTCCTCAAGATAATTATGGTTGAATTGTAAAAAATATTTCTATTTTCAAAATGTATTATTAATCTACTTTGACTCTACTATCGAAGTAGGTCCTCTACAAAAGCAGGAATATTATAGTATTTTATTCATCTTTGTGTCTTCACAAAGAACCAACAAACTGTAGAAGCTGGATCAATGTTGATGAAGCTTAACATAGGGATAGTGTCATTTTGGAAAATGAATAAGATATATAAATTTAAAATTGTGAAGAAAGGCTGAATAATTCAGATTCTCTGGAGAAATACAATGGGTAATACAGAAAAGGCTTTTTTTTTTTTTTTTTAAACTAAAGTACAGCTTTGATTTAGTGTGTTGTAAGCAGGACGGACAGAGGGGAATTATGAACTGCTGGGCGTTCTGCTACCCAATTTAGCATCAGACAGAACTCTCTTCCTGGTTAAGTAAAAGCTACTCTCCTCTCTTTTCATTTCCTCCCAGGACTCAACATAGATGTGTTCCAACAGCAGACATTTACTCAGTGCCTCTGGAACCAGATTAAGCTCCTGCCGGGGGCAGCTTCTTCCTCGGGGGTATTTCCTTTGCTTCCAAACGACAGGCCTTGCCACAAAACCAAAGTATGACTCTTAAGACCTTTTAGACAAAATCATCGGTTTCCTCACTGGAATTTTAACTCTCTTTTTATCCTCAATTCCTTTCCAAATTTATCACATGAAAATAAAGTAATGATGCTATAAACTTCACACATGTGCGTACTGTATAAAAATAAAAATACAAATGGGCAGTAGGGTGACAAGGAAATTACCATGGATACTTTTAACTTAAATATGACACCTACTGTTCTAAGTGGCTGTCCAACTATTTTGATCAACCAGAATGCTTTTTTATAGACTCTTAATTTAAAAATAGACGGACCACTGATTGTCAGCAAGAGTTTCTTCTTATACAGCTCTTTTGCTGTAGAATATTTGTGGCGAAGGGATTTGATGTTGTGATGGTTAAGGGTGTGTGTCAGCTTGGCTAGACCATGATTCTCGATGGTTTTGGCAGGTATTAAGCAATCATCCTCCATTTTGTGATCTGATGTGAGTAGTCCAACAGTTGAAGTCAATCATCTGAAAGCCAGTCAGTTCCCTTGGAGGTATGGCCTGCATCCAATATATATGGATGTTCTGGCAAAGCACTCTGGATCCTGCATCCGACTTGCCATTCTCTGACCTCCAGTTCTTGGGAAGTGAGCCAGCAGCCTGCTGCCTGAGTTGCAGATCTTGGGATTCGTCAGCCCTTATAACCAAGTGAGTCAGGAGAAGCCTCCAGCCTCCAGCCTCCAGCCTGACTCATGGATTTGGGACTCGCCAGTTTCCACAACTATGTGGGCCATTTCCTTGAGATAAATCTCTTTATATATATTTATACATGTATGCTTCACTGGCTTTGCTCCTCTAGAGGACTCAGCCTAAGACAGATGTGTTCTATCCTTTGAGGAGGAATCCTGGTGGCACAGTGGTTAAGCGCTCGGCTGCTAACAGAAAGGTTGGTGGTTCGAACCCATCAGCCACTCCACAGAAGACAGATGTGGCAGTCTGCTTCCGTAAAGATTACAGACTTGGAAACCCCGTGAGGCAGTCCTAATCTGTCCTACATGGTTGTTATGAATTGGAATTGACTCAACAGCAATGGGTTTGGTTTTTTGGTTTATTCTCCGAGGACAAGTATGCTTAATATTTAATGCTGATACCTCTATCTCCCAAAGAGCAAATGATGGCTCTAACCAAAGGGTTCCAAAGGGTTATGGAAAAGAACCAGGACAGCTAGATATACGGGCATGGAAAGATGTTCAGACTCATTGTGGAGTAAAAAGAGAAAATGCAGAAGAATATAAACAGCATGATCTCATTTGGGTAAATCAAAACAAAAAGGTACATATATAATTGTGAGAGAGCTGTTTTATCTCTCTAGTGTGTGTCTCTCCCATCAAAAAAACCTGCTGCCATCAAGTCAATTCTGACTCATAGAGACCCTATAGGACAGAGTAGAACTGCCCCATAGGGTTTCCAAGGGGCAGCTGGTGGATTTGAACTGCCAACCTTTTGGTTAGCAGCCAAGCTCTTAACCACTGTGCCACCAGGGCTCTGTCTCAACCACAGCTAATCCTTTTTCCGATAAAAATTATTTTTTCCTATAGGTAACCTCTCATGCACTTGGGTGAGCTGACCCACATCTCCCACCCAGGGTGGGCGTGTGACCCAGCCCCGGACAATCACAGGACTCCCTGTGACTATTTAGCCATAGTTGTCAGGAATGGCTTATTCTTGCCCCTGGAGTTGCTAAGCTGGCAACACTGCTGGAGGCCATACTGCTGCCATGATGAAAAAGCCTGAACACAAAGCCAAGCAGAAGCAAGAGGGACCAAAAGCCAGAGACAGAGCCCTGAGCCCTGAAAACACTGTTTCAACCTGGGAGTCAACTGTTCTCAGCTGCACAGTCCAATAAATTACCTTTTTGGTGTGTGTTTGGGTTAAGGAAGGAGGGTGCTTAATTGAGTTTAAGCTGGATTTCTGTAAATTTTTAGTGGAAAATTTCCTAATACATAATCAGTCAGAAAAAGATGCAACATTGCTGGCTTTGAAGATGAAGGAAGGGGCCCAAGAGCCAAGGAATAAGGGCAGCCTATAGAAGCTGGAAAAGGCAAGGAAATGGATTCTGCCATAGAACCTCCAGAAAGAAATGCAGCTCTTCTAACACCTTGATTCTAACCCAGTGAAACCCATGTTGGGCTTCTAACCTACAGAACTGTAAGATAATAAACTTGTGCTGATTTAAGCCACCAAAAATAATTTCCCAATACAGAAAGATGTAGAAAGTTTCTAGTTTCTAGAAGGATTCCACAGCATTATCCCTATGAAGTGGGAATGGGGTAGGTGGGGATAGGGGGGATTTTATATATTTTTTAAAATAAGCATGTATTATTTTTATTAGTTTGAAAAACTAATTTTAAGCATGTTTAAGAATGAAACCAGAATAAAAATCTCAGAATCATGAGTATTATCATTTAGCAAAGAGAGTCTGAATAGCAACTGCTTTACAAAAAAACAGGGCAGCGTCAATGTGACTGGTGAGGAATTCCAACTAGTGTCACAATGATGCTATTTAACACAAGGGGTCAGCCACTGAGCCAACACATCCCGATGCCACACCACACCTTCTGTCTAACAAGGCCCTTCCAGTAAGTCCAATTCCATTGGAAGGATTTTCCCTACTGTGTAGGGGCCAGGACATAACTATCAGATGTATTCTCCAAGCTGGTTTTGGAGATAGGGCTGGGGGAGGCAGGGAAGGGAAGCCAGAATAGTAATTGGCCTCGGATTACAATTTAGCAAACTTTTCAATAGAAAATCAACAAATTGCCAACAAATTGCTATGCTAATGAAGAACTGCCCTGCTCTGCACTGAGCATTTATCGTAAGAAAAAACAAGACAACTCATTTATGCCATTCTGTAGAGCTAGCTGCCACTCAGGAGGTCCCCTGCTGAATTTTAAAAGGTTTCATGTAGGGAAAAGGAGAAAGCATGAGAGCTGGCTGCCTTGGTCTTGTTTCTTTCCAGTCATTCTCTTACCCAGTGCTTAAGACATACCAGAGAGCAAGATGGTCTAGCGTGCAAGCCAACTGAATGTCCAGTGCAAAGGCTACTTTAAATATATTCCTCAAGAAGTTTAAAAAAAAAGGAAAATATCTGCCTCTCCCAGACATCCCCTTCCCCCACAACTAATAAATAAGCAAATGGTGGTTCTTACATTGAACACATGCCTTTTCTAAATTGAGTTCATTTGACTTGGACATGATAAGTCTGGTACATTCTGCCAAGCTTATGGGAAAGATGGTCCACTTAGCTATAGACAGAATTCCATTTGGTTTCTCTCAAAGAGGTATCTCAGAAGTATATAGCCAGAGGACAAGGGCAACAAAACAACGCAGACAAACTACTTCACTGCTGTTTAGTTGTTGTCAAGAGTGATACAGACAGTGAAGAAAAAGCCCATTTTTTATTCTAGGGACATTTCTGCTTCAAACGAACAGGAGAATTATATTTTTATTTTCCTCTTTTTCCCCGCCACCCTTTCTTTTCTACCTTCCTCTTCTTAGTTTAAAAAGGATATGGCTAGAGAGAAGAAAAAGAAAAACACCAAGGCCAGAGGTCTAGGCTGAAGTATAATGTTTCAAGGATATGAATAAAACATACTAAAGATGTAAGTAAGCCAGACCTCTGTGGTTTTTTCCACTTGTCTACCAGGAATAAACTAAGGTCAATTTTAGATCCCAATTTAAGGACAGAAGGTTAATTCGATAATTCAGGCAGAGAATTTATTTTAAATATAAAATCAAATTTTAAATTGTCTTTTGCCCTAAAAGTAAGTTTTAAACATTGTAGGTTTATTGAAGTAGTTACAGTAGTTCTGGGTTTTACTGACTTTAGGTAGCATATCTCTGAAAAGATTTTAATGGAGTTTGCGGTTGTACTACAGTCAGAAATCCTAGAAGCAAATTCTTAAAAGAGTTTTGAACTATCTTACTATGTACCTCTCAGTCCTTTCTTTCAACTTCCTATAGTTCAGTTAAGCATCTGAGGCCAAGGAGGCTTCTTTCCCTCCTTTCACACATACAAAAAAAAAAAAAAAGTGGGTTAATAACAATATCAAATTGACCAGCTGCTGGACTATGTAACAAAAATTAAAATAATAATTTGAACAACACCATAAAGCTTACCAAGCATTTACCCAACTATAATTCTCCATCTTTATAACTGTGTAACATATGTAAAGCAGAGACTGTTGCCCTGCTTTACTGATGAAAAAACCAGAGTAAAAATATCATTCCCATTATTTCCCTGAAACGTGCCCCTCTGACAATCACCAAGCCAGCTTCCATGCTCAGCAGCAGGTGATGGATCACTTACCAACACACAGGATGTTGAAACAGAATCCTTGAGAAGTGGATTTGTTGACCAACTGGTCAGGGAGACTGTCAAATCCCACATGGCCAGAAAGGGACAAGTTTCGAAGCTCTTCACTCTGGAATTTCAGAGGGGAATATTTGAGAATCCAGGAATTATGCCACATAGGCATCACACATTACAGACATTATTACTCTCTCCCTTCCTCTCGTTTATTCATCCATGGAAAAACAGAGATTCCCTCTGTACCCACACTCTCCTTGAGCTCTACACTACAGAAGGCACCAACAACTCCAAAGCCATTCTCTTTCACAAAATCACACACTGTCTCCCAAAACACACTACATCCCAGGGTAACTCATTCCTTGTTACAATTGTAATGGTCCAGGGAAATTTCAGCTTCTTGAAGTGGCTACACATAAAGAGATGTATAGAGATGGGGCACTTAAGTAACATGAAAAACCACCCATTTTGATAGATTCAATCACTTAAGCAAAACTTTCAAGACATAGTAAAAATAAATAAATACATACATAAATAAATTGTACTCTTCCAGATACATAAAGAAGCTTTCAGAAGCTCAGCATGGAAGACACATACTCACTACAATTATGGAAATGCTGTAACCACCATAATTATGCAACAAGTTTAAAACTACTCAGCACAGGAATTGGTCCCATCTCTTCCATTAGCTGTACAGGCTCTCCCCTACACGGCTCCTAGCACAGTTTCTGCACTTACTGGGCCTTCTCAGCTTACTGATGGAGACTGGAGTAAGGTAGCTATCATACATTAAGAGTCAGGTGACTTATGCCATTCTATAAACTGGTGCTAAATGCCTCAACTTAGAATGCATCCCATGGGTGTTGGTGATAATCCGTGAAGCTTTCAGTCGCAGGTCAGCTGTGATCCTTCAACTTACAATACTGTAGTATGGTTTGCATTTGGAGAAACTAGATATTGAAAGCCTTCTAGAAGTCAAAGTTCCTGGTGTTCTGGTTATGTTGCCAATGAAGTTTACATTCACAATACTGAGCTTGGGTGATAAAATGAGCCTCAAAGTTTCTTTTTTTTGATAAAAAAGAAAAAGCGTTGCACAGGATCACTTAATCAATGTTTTTATGAATTGATTTCTTTTAGTAGTTAAGGATTGAGACCCCCTTTTTCCAAATCTCTATGTTACTCTATCTGCAGAGAAATGTGACTCCATAAATGTAGTCATTTCAATGGAATGTTTTATGAACAATTTAATTCCTTGCCAGCTCTAAAATTCTGATTCTGTGAAATAAGACTAAAAAACACCACACTGTCTGAATACCATCACGGCAGCTGCAGGTTTGAGGTCAATGGGGTAGAGAACAGATGCCTCATCTATGAATAGTTTCCTTGAAACCTGCCAACAGTGAATATGAGACTCCAAAGTAGGCACTTATCCTTGAGCAGGATGGTATGGTAGAGAGCTCACTAAATGGCTTCCAGGCAGGTTCCAGTGGACACAATTCTGGCAGCTGGCCAAGCCTCCCAATAAGACTCCATTTCTTAGAGCCTCAATGCTAGTACCTGCCCCTTCCTCTTCAGATACTTCAAAGATTCAGACAGCAGGTATTTTCAGGGTGTTCACCACATCCGCCAGGACTTGGGGGAGGAGGATTTGAAACAAGTCCTGGGCTATATTTAGAACTCTTTCCATCACAGCTGTGTGGTGGCTGTTGTGTATCAAGCAAGGAGAAGCCATTGCACCCGCCTTTACTTCTGATGCATCACTGACTGGAATGTTCAGTGAACCGAGCGAGAAGGGACAAGGCAAGGAAGAACTATCATCCCACATTCCCTCCTCTCTCTGCCACAATACTTCTTTTCAATTCCAGGGAAGGGGAAAGAGTGGTTTATTGCTCTAGATTCTAGATTGTTAGGTTTTTAGATACCAGATATCCTCCCATGAGCCAATCCTGGGAAAGAATCAGAGTTAGTAATTACAGCTCTCATCCCAGAATCCAGCACTCAGCATCTCATATTCTCACCGTTTCCAAAACACGAGAAACCACCCACACACCCACTGAGTATTTTTACACCCATTGAAAACCACAGACAAAATGAAGGGTTATAAAGAGTTTGGTCTTGAAATTTTTGAAATTTATAGTTAAGCCTTTAGAGTCTTTGTCTTCTAACTTTGTGATATAAAACATGTAAATTTTATAATGATATTTTTTTTTAAGCATAATTCTCTGACCAGTATTAAAGGCATCCTGAGAGTCATTGCCTATCAGTATGTAACAGGCAAGAGGGAAACAGGAAGTTCTCTCTTTGGATCATGAACAGGCTTTAAAAACTGGAAAGCACTGTAGTAAATGCAAGGAGCAGCTCTGAGCAACTAACCTCGTGACTCACACGGAGCAGCTGAATTGAATTCCTGCACTCCAGCATTCTATCGTACATGTATATTGCGTCTTGCCTTAGTCATCACTATTCAAGGAATCTGGGCTCTTTTTCAGTCTATAGGCCCAGTCTCAGGGAATCATCTATCTTCCTATATCATTAACACTATCACACATCCAGAAATGACTCCCTGAATTTTATCTTCAATCCTCAACTTTTCTGCTTGGGTTCCAGCTCTAAATTTCTATCACATGGGCAAGCTCTCCTGAGCTGTCCTGTCTGTATCTCAAATTAATGTACAAAACTGAAATCATATCCTTCTGTCCCAAACCCACTCCTTCTCCAGAGTTCTCTATTTCTGTTAATGGCACTTAGTTATGCTTGGGGCTACCCCTTCTCCCATCAATTCCTAAATCTTAACAATGCTACATCCTCCTCTCTATTCCTACTAATTTAACAGCCTCCCAAATGGTCTCCCTGCCTTGGTCCCACTCCTCTCTAATCCCCTTTCTCTACCTTGTGGCCAAAGGTTCTCAGTGCTCAAAGGCCCTTAATACAAATGCGTTGGCCTGGCATTTCAGGCCCTCCGTGGGTTGAACTCAAGTCTCCAATCCCATTGAACCTACCATGACTCCCCATGGAGCACCTTACCTGCAGTAAAGCTGAATTATTCAATGTTCCTGGGACAAATTTATGCCCCACCCCCCACCCCCACCTCAGGTTCAGTCACATTATTTCCTCTATATGGAAGGGACTTATATCCAATGTTTACACAGCCAAGCCTTCCAGATCCCACTCAGATTTTACCTCCACTATGGTCTTTATTATGATGTCTCAGGGAGAATTTCAGTAAACATTTCCCATACCAATAAAAGAAAAATACTGATTGGATAAAGATGGCTCAAGCTATTCGGTATTCCATGATCATCATCAAAACAGCTAACATCTATTTACCATTTCCAATCTTCCAGAAAAGCCCTAAACATGAAAGAACTAATTTATTTCTCTTAACAGTTTTATGAGGTAGTTACTATTATTACCAGCCTCAGTTTACAGATTAGAAAATCGAAACACAGACTTAAGTAATCTGCCCAGTGTCAAACAGCTAGTAAGTTGAGACGCTAAAATTTGAACCCAGGAATTCAGGTTCCAGGGTCCAGAGTCCACATATTTAGTCATTACTTTACTGCTCTCACGTGATAATCTAATCAGTTCCCAGGCAGTCCCAGACAATACAATAATTTCAATTGCTATAAAAACCTGATATGAGACTGAAAGGCGACATACTGTATGATTCCAACTGTATGACATTTTGGAAAAGGAAAAATATGTTGTTTCTGTGTGCCATTGAGTCGATTCCAACTCATAGTGACCCTATAGGACAGAGTAGAACTGCTCCATAGGGTTTCCTAGGCTGTAATCTTCATGGGAGCAGGTCGCCAGGTCTTTTCTCCTACAGAGCGGCTGGTGGGTTCAAACTGCTAAATCTTTCAGTTAGCAGCCGAGGGCTTTACTATCGTGCACAAGGGCTTCTTGCCAAAACTATAGAAACAGTGCAAAGATCACTGGTTGCCAGAGGCTTGGGGAAGGGGAGAAGAGATGAACAGGTGGTACACAAGCCATTTTTATTGCAGTGAAACTACACTGTATGATACTGTAATAGTGGGCACATGATGTTATGCGTTTGTCAAAACCCAAAAAATATACAACACAAACATGTAAACTATGGACTCCATTTAATAATAATCTATCAATACTGGTTCATCAGTGGTAACAAATGTACCATATCAATGCGACATGTTAATAATAAGGGAAACTGTGGGCAAAGGGAGAGGAGGTATATGGGAACTGTACTTTCTGCTCAATTTTTCTATAAGCGTAAAACTGCTCTAAAAATTAAAGTCTATCTAAAGGGAAAAATCCAGTATGTTAAAATAGAAAGAAAGAAAAAAATTCTCTAAAACCATAATTCTTTGACAATCATAGAGCTGGAAATTGAGGATTAGAATTGGCAAAGTAGCTTCAAGTCCATTTTCACTGGTGCTGGCAATACCAAGGTCAGACATGGACTTTTTGCAAGCTATGACACAAGAAGCCCATAATATAAAGCTTAGTTTTGACCATTTTTGAAATGAGAGTGCCAACATGGAGCCACTAAGTAAGTAACTATAAGACCTTAATTGATTTAGCCCTCAATTTGCTAATCTATTTAGTAAGGGTCTGTACTTAGAGGATTTCTACAGCCCATTCCATCTTGAAATAGGTTATAACTAATACAACATATGTTTATATAGCATATATTATATTGTATAACATAACACTATGATCTAAAATAAAATAACCAGTCTTTAACTATTTTACTGTCTCACCTTTCTCTCCTTGAAACATCTCTATTATGTGGATACAATATTTTTTTGCTCATTCAAAAACATCATGGCTGAAAGCACTAAAGGAGCTAAAATATGTTCTTTTGTTATTCTTTGTTACAAACACAATTCCTGCCCTTAAGAAGTTTACAATGTATCAGTAGAGACAGGCCCTACATCAATGTAGTACTACTAAGGATAAAAGTGATAAATGCCACGGCATTAACTATAGGAAGCTTTAGATGGGAGAAGTGGCTTTTGGCTATTAGAGGGAAGAGGGGCTAAGGAAATTCCGGAGACATCTTTTAGGAAGGGTTAGAGCTCCCCAAATCTACCAGGAAAAACAAAACAGACAAACATAAGTTTAGCTTGTGAAAGCCTTCTAGATAAAAGCTGCCTGTACCCAAAGGGTCACTTGATTACCACTGTATACTCTGAAGTTAATAATCAACAGGTCTTTCAGATGTCCAGCAGACTTCATTATTGAGATAATTATGAAACAAATTATATAAGCACGTGAGCTAACACCTACATTCTGAGTGCTGCTTTAAAATATGCACAGAGTAACTTATGCTCCACAATTCCAAATTTTGCTTCACCAGAAGCAAGGCAGTAAAATAAAAGGCTTGGATTCAGACAAAGATCGGTGAGTTTGAATTCCAGCTTTGCCTCCTACTTTAGTCTCTCTTCCTCCATTAGTAAAAATGAGGTACTTGGCAGTATTGCTGGGAGGAGATATGGAAATGATGTATGTGACAGTGTCT